CTCTAAACAAAATCACCGTGAAGAACAAGTACCCTATTCCCCTAATGGCGGACTTGTTTGATAGACTGGGTGGTGCTACAGTGTTCACCAAGATAGATCTGAAGACAGGTTATTGGCAAGTTCGGATTGCAGAGGGTGATGAACACAAGACGACTTGTGTGACAAGATATGGGTCGTACGACTTCCTGGTCATGCCATTCGGCTTGACCAACGCCCCTGCTACGTTTTGCACTCTCATGAACCAAGTCTTCCGAGAGTACATCGACGAATTTGTGGTGGTCTACTTAGATGACATTGTGGTATATAGCCAGACATTGGAAGAACACCTAGTACACTTGCGGAAGGTCCTAGCTCGGTTGCGGGAACATGAACTATATGCAAAGTTATCCAAGTGCTCCTTTGCTCAGAAGCAAATTGATTTCCTCGGACATGTCATCGAGGAAGGACGCATCAAAATGGACCAGCAGAAAATCCAGGCCATCACAGATTGGCCGACACCTAAGGATGTCCACGCCTTGAGGGCGTTCCTTGGCCTATGCAACTTCTACCGGCGGTTTGTGAAGAACTACTCACTTATCGCAGTGCCATTGACAGAACTCCTCAAAAAGGTCACACCTTGGGATTGGGGACCAAGGAGAGCAGAGGCCTTCAACGCATTAAAAGCGGCTATGTCTAGTAGCCCCGTCTTGGCCCTTCCTGATTTGGCCAAGCCGTTCGAGGTACAAACAGATGCTTCTGACTATGCACTCGGCGGAGTCCTGCTACAAGAAGGGCACCCTGTAGCGTACGAGAGTCGGAAGCTGAAGGATGCAGAGCGGCGCTATGCCGCCCATGAGAAAGAATTATTGGCTGTCGTCCACTGCTTGCGCCTCTGGAGGCACTATCTACTGGGAACCCCGTTCGTGGTCAAGACAGACAACACAGCTGTTAGCCATTTCATGACCCAGCCGAAGCTGAACGGTCGACAGGCCAGGTGGCAGGAACTCCTAGCTGAATTCCACTTCAACTTGGAGTATCGCAGTGGAAAGACCAATCATGTTGCTGATGCGCTCAGTCGGAGAGCTGATCTAGCATCGGTGTGCCTACTCGCCACCCTAAGGGGGCACATCCATCAAGGACCAAATACGGGATCTACTCTTCAAGGATCCTGCTGCTCAGTATTTGGTTGATTTGGTAGGACAGGGCAAGACTCGCCAGTTCTACATGGAAGATGGGTTTCTGAAATTAAAAGGGAACCGACTTTATGTTCCTAAAGGAGGAGATTTGCGGACGACTCTTCTAGCGGAATGTCATGATACTCTGTGGGCCGGCCATCCCGGTGAAGAATGCACCATGGCGTTACTTCGTCGTGCCTATTATTGGCCTCAAATGGACGATGATGTCGCTCAGTATGTGANGGGACAAAGCCCAAGCGAAACATCAAAATACGACACAAATCCCGAAATTGCCAAAACCGACCCCCGGGACCACATCTCGGAATTTANTAATTTTTACATCAACGGATTCCTTATCTCCCCACGAGTTTATACATATCAAAAGTTCTGAAATCCGACCTCAAATGGTCCATCAAATCCTCAATCAAAGGTCTCCAATACTAAGCCCTAATTTTCCCAATTTTCACCCTTAATTTCCGTAATTTCTAGCTTTAATCCATGAAATAATAGCATAGGAACGAGTATTAGATCCAAATTCCTTACCTCAATGAAGTTCCCTTGAAATTCCTCTCTCATCGCCCAAAAAGCTCCAAAGCCGAGATAAAAATGGTGAAATTTACAAAAATTCGCGAAGGCCACAATTTATACTTTCTGCCCAGACATTTTAGCATCTGCGGCCCAATACCCGCTTCTGCGGTACCGCATATGCGGTTCTTCCGCTTCTGCGAAAATAACTTAACGTCCCATTACCGCACCTGCGATCCCATACCCGCATTTGCGACTTCGCAGATGCGGTCCTCTTAGCCGCTTCTGCGGTTCCTGCCCCTAACACACAAGTCAACATCTGGTTGACTTTTTCAACCTAAACTCACTCCAAAGAGACTAAGTGTCTCAAACCTTACCAAAATCATTCCAAATTCGATCCGACCAATCCGATACCACCTAACACGGATAAACGAAGCATAAAGACAACAGAGATATAAAATAGTGGAGGAGGTATTGCTACCGAAGGAGATCAATGATCAACCTACAAAAAAAAGACAACAAATTTTGTAAAAATAAATCAAGAAGGTCAGAATTCAAAAATAGAAGAGAAAGAATCGAAGGAAAAGTTAAAATGGATGATCTAGTTGCAAGTGGTGCACCACTGAAAGAGGATGGTGTTTTACAAGAAAAATTACTTGATAGTCAAGATGAGCCTAGTAATGAAGAAGTATAATAATACACTAAGAGAAAGTTTCTGATGATCTACTCAAGATTGAGGCAGAACTAGCTTGGGATCCAGAACCACAATAACTCATGATTACAAATATCGAAAATGGAATAAATTTTGTGCCATTATTCGAGATTTCATGTTTCAAGGAGTATGACGAAATGTTTATTGATGTCATTACTCTAAAACCTATAGGATGGCTAATTGGAATTGAATGGGTGTACAAGGCCAACCACAAGGCAACTAGACTACTGGAGAAGTAGATGATTTCATAGTAAAAGAAAAATATGTTATTGATATTTTGAATGGATCTATCATAGGTAAAGCCAAATCAACTATGATCAGTTTTGAAGAGAAGATGAAATTGACTAAGGATTGCGCTTCTAATTTTGTTGATGCAACATATTTTAGAAAATTGATGAGGGCCTAAAGTATTTGACTTCTACAAGGTTTGATGTTACTCGTGGCATGCTCAAGTTTGAAGATCTTGGTTTAAGGAAGACCGTTGGAAACTAAACCGAGATTATTTAGTATTCTTAAGCTGTCTGGGATTTGGTATTTGTTACTCTATTTAATTCTATCTAATTAGGATTCACAGTCGAAACCATGTAGGAGTAGATTTTCTATATTCTAGTCAAGTTTGATTTGTAGTATTATAAATGAATAATTAACCCAAATAGCCGCTCACCAATTATTTAAACTAAGAATCGCCGGTGGAGGTATAATATATGCATAATTTATATATTATATGTGTATAATCAATGTATAATCTATGTATATGGCTAAAAAAAAGTAAACAAAGAATATGAACGGCTATTTGTGTAAAAAACGGTGTAGCTACATAGTTTCTAAGATGGAGAGGTAGCTTCGATGTAGAGATATTCAAGAATTTATAAGTGAATAAAAAATCCCCGTTCTCTATCTAGTTTGATAATTTTTTTCTACATAGCCTTTATTGAATTTTTTACTTGTGGCTAAATTATTTGTCGGGGTATTTCAATCCTTCATTAGCTAAAGAAGAATATACAAAATAAAAAAATATCTGAAGACAACAAAAGAAAAACTAATAACTAATATATGGAGATAATGAAAACCTCTGTTTTTGTGTCTACTTTTTGTAGGAGTAGAATGTTGGGGAAAAGACAAAAAATGACAAGGATTAAAAATTGGCATAAGTTGCATTAATTTTAAGAAATTTAACTAAAATGTGCAATTTGATTAGATTTTCAAAAGATGGTAAAAAAATGACTAAATATTGCATGAGTTAGTGGCCTCCAATTTGTATCGAATGGCAAAGATTTTGCAGACAATTAAATTTGTATTTCTGGAGGTCATCATAAACTTCCACAATAAAATTGACACAATACGAATAATTTTGTGAAAGTTAGAACAAACGCCATAAATTGAAAATATAGTGGAGGTCTTTTACAACCCCCACAAATAAACCACTACAAAAAGAATTATTCTGTAGGGGTTGACGCAAACGCCACAAAACAAATGTATAGTGGGAGTTTCTTATAACTCCCATAAATTAACCGCCACAATTTAGCAAATTTTTTGTAGTGACAGGTTTTGGAAAAGAGTTTTAACCCTTAAAACATGTGTTATTTTATAAATGCATAAGCTTTTCCACCTACGGGAAGAAGAACAAGGTGAGCGAGAATCTAAGCCTTTTTCCTAGAAATTTTGCCCACACGAAATTGTTATTTTCGGATATATTTTGGGTAATACAGCAGAAGACCGTGGAACATTCGGGAATCATGATCGTGCTGACGGTGGAGATTTCATTGAGTTGCCGTGGAACTGGAGGCTCACGTGATAGAAGAGATTTGTTCACGCTTCAAGAGGTAACCCGTACAAGACCCCGAATATACTAGTTGTCTGGATTACGTGTGTTTTTGATACTGGAATTGCTTCCGCCGCTTATGATAATTCATCAACATAAATATTCAATACACGGCTCAAATAGTGATTAGAAAACGTTGCTGCAGTTCTCATTTATAGCATATATTTATAGTACAATGTACATGTGTAGATAGCTACAAGAGATGAGCATTACACGATATGATAAAGATAAGCCTAAGTAGAATACCACCGTAGGCTCCAAGCAGGAGCGGATTTGTAGTCCAAATTATGGTGCACGTCAGCCCATGATCTCTTCGTCAAATTATGTATTTTATGTATATATTTGCTGGAATTGATCTAATATTTTTTGCCGACTCCTATGCTCCAAACAGTTGAATGGTACATTTGGTTGAAATGGTATATTTGGTTGAATACTAGTAAGTTATTTATCCAAACGAATAGAGATCAATTCTCACTTGATACTTTCTTTTTTCTTCTTTCATTAGTGGTGCCAATATTCTAAAAATCTCAGATCCGCCTTTGGCTCCAAGCCACGGAGACATGTACTAGGATACTCTAACAGTACTAATCATATATCAGGTTGCAAACTCGGATAAGGTTAAGCTTAAATGTTGAACCATTTTGAATTCATCTGATTCAAGATTTATGCTTATACTGCAGTGTTGTAGTATTAGTTTCAAAAGGCAAAATGCTCCGTTAAGAATTAGAACTGGTGTAAATTTTCACGTAGTGTTCTGTATATTTGACCAAAATTCTACAGAAAGAAGAAGATGAATATCGTCGATATGTAGCGCATTTAGCAACATCAAATTAAACTGGAATATACACTTTTGGCTATTAAAAACATTGATTCTTTGTTGTTAAGATACTGGAAATTACACTACTTAGTGCTTCAGGGAGGAATTCTGTTGCATGTAGTCTTCTTAAGTACAAGGTGGACTTGACGTAACTGGTAGTGTAGCTTGTCCATTCTTTTCTGTTGCTAGAGAATCCTTCAAAATTTCTGCTTCTTTACTTTTACCCCATAGAAGAATATACAAGCCAATAATAACCAAAATTGACCCCAATATGCTGTTAAAGTAAGAAAATCTATTTAGTAATAATAATATCCAACAATTCTTTTTTAAGTCAAGAAATTGTTGTAGAAAAGAAGTTCCAACCTTCCAAGATGAATTTGTTCATGAAGTATGCAGATGTCAATAACAGCAGCAAATATCTGAATAAAGGGACTAAATGCAGAAGTGAAAACTGCACCCTTTTTCTTGACACACCATGACATGACCACATAGCATAACCCTGATCCCACTATTCCCTGTTACACAAATAGCCGGTTAGATTCATTGTTTACTTTTTCTAGCCGGTATACATAGATTATACATGGATTATACACAGTTATACACATATTATTCAAGAAGTATACATATATTATACATATGTCGGCTATTTTTAGTTTAAGAGATTAGGTGGGCGGCTGTTTCTATTCTAACTTTAATATCTTGAATAAAAAACAGGAGATTACTCACGGCGTATATGACACTTGAGATCTCTAAACTTCCTTTCAGAAACCAAGTTGATGTGTTTCTATCAATGACAAGGCTCAATATAGCAGATTGAATGGCTCCAAGTAATGACATTATTGCTGTGCTAGAATACTGATAAGGATATTCCTTCCCTATCTTAGCTTGTATGAGGAACCACGACGACCAAACGAGGCTTCCAGCAAATAGAAACGACGAACCAACAATCCAATTCTTTGTGCTGTGGTTCACTTCATGTGCTTCTGATGCCGGCTTGCTTATCAGTGGCATTCCTTTGTATAACGTAAGTATTAAGGCTCCCCCAAGACAACATAAGGTTCCTAACGCCTTAGCTCTCCCGCTTTTGCATTTAATTGTTATTTTCTCTTGCCTGCAAAAATTTTACAGGTTAATCGTTCATGCATATTGATTTGATGATTACATAAAGAACCAATTGTGCAGTAGTTGTTTGTGCTTACCCGAGTAGCAATGCCATAACGAATGTGTTGATGGGAACCATATTAATGAAAGCACAGCTAAATGTTGTTGAGGTGTACTTCAGCCCGATTAGGAAGAAATACTGAGTGAGTGTACCCCTGAAAACAACAATCTTTCTCAAACTTTGTTGTCACAGGAAAGTGAATACCAACAACAACAACAGACCTTACCCCTACAAGGTAGAGAGGCTGTTTACGATAGAAGGAAGTGAATACCATAATCTTTTAATTATGCAAACAAATGAGATGAAGATACTTTAGCATATATAATGAGCAGAAAACTGACCCGAGAAGTGCACTGAAGAACAGAGAACAAACAACGCGACCTGTTAAATTTGATATGAAATTCCTGCAAAGGAAAGGGAATAAAATCTTTTTGTTAAATAGTAGCAGGTATGGAATTATTAAACTCTTCTAATCAGAACACAAATGTGTAAAAAGCCATACCTTTCCAGTAAACATGCAATGGGAGTTAAGAAAATCGCGGCGATTGAGAACCTGTATGTAGCTATCACCAATTGGCTCATTCCTCCACTGAGTACTTTTTTGAATAGCGCGTTTACGACAGCCAGAGCAAATTCAACAAATATCATTGCAGCTACTGGTTTCCATTTCTGAAAGAAACTCATTGCTGCAATATAACGATCTTTGTATTACTACAAAACTCCTGTTTTTAAGGTTTTAGTTTCCCTTGCTTTGTAAGCCACATTTGGTGCATATATCATGAGCTCCAACATATATAGTAAAACATCAGGAAACAATGTGAATATGAGATTGATTCTCCTAACATCACATCATTGTTTTTTTTTTTGCAAATATGACCATGTTTATAATGTTCTTGAGGCTACTTTCCACAACTTTTTAATTGAATCGTTCCTATGGAGATTGTTCGAATCGCTTTGTTTGTTAATATTCTATATATCATCAGCTGATGACCTCAGAAATTATATGCATGTTTCATGTTCTCCATTTGAGTAATGAGTTTGACTCTTGAAGACTAGAACCACTATTATTTTTCCACCACAAAGGCATTGTATAATTTACTAATAAAAATTTTGAGCATATCAGAAAGTGGATGCAGATACAATTAAGCATTACTTTAAGCATCTTATCCTTCTCCTTTTGGAAATAAAGACCGGTTTCTCTTGTTTTTATGTGTTAATATATTTGGAAAGTGGGAGAAGAACAATATGTCTAATCTTCTAAAGCTAATTCTATTGGTTTGAAGCTGCTAGAGACTTGCAATGGAACTTCTGTATTACTCTGAACCTCTGATATTTTGGGTTAATAATGAACAGTGCTGCTAGTATAAGTGCTTTTTACTTCTTTGAAGGCCATAGCTAACTACCAACACAAAGCTTTGCAAGATCAAGATTTGTCATATAGGACATGTTCCATTTTGCAATTTGCATGTTGTTTGATGGTACATGACCATATGGAGTCCCATCATTTATTTTAGTTAGAACAACTCATGGGCGGCTTTCCAGCCATGCCCCATGACCCCTTGGGCGCGCCCCGTGGCGTCCTAGCGAACCTCCCAATGCCTAGCGCCACGGACGGCCCCGTGGTCTTGGCCGCGCCAAGTGACAAGCGCGCAGGTGCCTCTGTCGCCCCACCGATATTCCTCGCGAGCACCAAGCCGCAGGCAGAAGCCAACAGCGCCGCGCGCGCAGACCGTGATGCCAACGACATTGCTGCTGACAACGGACCTGCTGCTGCCTTATAGAAAACTAAGTCATTTTCATTGTAACTATAGAGTAGTTTTATTTCATGTACTTCCATTATGTTTCTCTAGCTTAATCAAGTCTAGTCTTGTAACTTTGGATTTTTTTTTAAGTACTATTAGGGGGGATCAAGCAATCAAAACTTTCTAGCAAGCAAGCAATTCTCTGTACTGGTGTCTCTCCCCCTCGACACCGCGTTGCTTTTCTGTAATAGCTTTCATTAATGAAATCAAGCTTTCTTTCATTCTGAATTCGCATTTCTGTTCTCTCAATTGCTCTTGATATTGGTTTTCCCGTACGGCACTGACAATCTCGTCTAGCGTACGGAGGGGACCTCAGTTGGCGGACAGCAACTGCACTGACATCAGTTGCCTAGCCTTACGTTGCCCTTCCAAGGAATCTCAGGAAGGCGCCGCGTAACAGTATGTACGTTCAGGGTTCGTGGCAGGTGGAATGTGGCAGGTGGAATGCTCGCTAAGTGCCCGTCATTGCCGTCCAATGTTGGTTATGACAACCTTGATTGCTTTAGGTAGAACATCATATGTATATATGTTCAGGGTTCGCTTGGCAGGGAGAATACTCGCTAAGTGCTTGTTACAACCGTCTAATGTTGGTCATGACGAACCTGTTTACTTTAGTTAGAATAGCATATACATGTATGTTCAAGGTTCACTTGGGAGTAGAATGCTCACTTAGTGTCCGTTAAAACCGTCCAATGTTGGTGATGAATAACTTGATTACTTTAGTTAAGAAAATATGTATGTACATTTAGGGGGTTCGGTTGGCGGGTAGAATACTCGCTAAGTGCCTGTCAAAACCGTCCAATGTAATTAGTCGCCATGACAAACCTGATTACTTTAGTTAGAACAACATTTTATGTACATTCACGGTTCGCTTGACGGATAAAATGCTCGCTAAGTGCCTGTCACAACCGTCAAATGTTGGTCATGCTAATCCGCTTCATTACTTTAGTTAGAACAACATATATATGTATGTTCAGGGTTCGCTNCATTCTGAATTCTCATTTCTGTTCTCTCAATTGCTCTTGACATTGGTTTTCCCGTACGACACTGACAATCTTGTCTAGCGTACGGAGGGGACCTCAGTTGGCGGACAACAACTGCACTGACATCAGTTGCCTAGCCTTACGTTGCCCTTCCAAGGAATCTCAGGAAGGCGCCGCGTAACATTAAGCATGCTGGTAATTTTCCTTCATTATTTTTAGGGATAATGTCAGAGATTTTCCCTCCTTTTCCACTTTATCACAATGGTGTCGCTTGTGGTTTACAATATTACGCTTACTTCCCTTATTTTAATTTTTCTATACAATCCTTTTAACTTATTTATCTTTGACACAAAATAATTATAAGTTGACGAATTTTCACTTTTAAACTCTTTTTATTGACTAATTTAGTGAATCTTTTTTTCAAAAATATTGCTTATTATACTCAAAAGGCAGAATGACTTTCTGGCCACTTAAACTTGTAGGGTTTTTAAAAGCCGATACATGAACTTTCAACTCTCCCATTTGAACACACTACTAGAAATCTGGTAAAATCCGACCAAAATAACCGACCAACTTTGGTCGGTAATGGCCAATAACTGTCCAAAATGCGACCATTTACGTGTGGACGGTATTTTGAAGGTCGAAAAAACATACCGACCAAAGTTGGTCGGAAATTACCGACCAACCTTGGTCGGTATGCTCTACACGACCATCTGACAATTTAATGGATTACCGACCAAAATTTATCGGAATATTATTTTTATTAATTTAATTTAACCGACCAAGCTTGTCGGTGTATTAAATTTATTAATTTTAATTACCGACCAAAGTTGGTTGGTATTGAAAAATATTTTTATTTAAAATTATTAAAATTTAAGAAAATCGACCAACTTTGGTCGGTAAACTGGACTGGGTAGGCAGAAAACCGACCAAATTTTGTTGGTAATGTTGAATTCTGGGAATTCATTGTACATTAACCGACCAACATTGGTCGGTAAACTTCAATTTAATTTTTTTAATTAGTAACCGACCAAGGTTTGTCGGTTTTCTGGGTTTAATTTTGCAGAAAATGCCTGTTTTGGTAGCTACACCACCTGCCAAATCAAAACAGCATACCAATACCCCCAATTCAACTCTAACAACCACCAAATCACTACAAATCCAACCAAAAAGCCCAACAACAACAACAACAACCAAACATCCAATAAATACTTTAAAACTAACAAATAAAAGTCCAATTGAACATAATAATCCAAAATCAAGTTAAAACTAATTACAACAAGTTCAAAATCGTTCAATCTAATTCAAAACTTGTTCTATTATTCTAGTTCAAAGTATATAAAAGTATTATTCAAGGGGTTTTCTACAATATCATCATCACTGTCTGATGAACTTTCATCTACAAGACGGTATAGAGAACGGTCTTGTGGAGGACGGGAAGAACGATCGCGAGGAGGATGGGAGGAACGATCACGAGGGGGACGGGAGGAACGATCACGTGGAGGTCGATCCTCTGGCGATGACTCACGAGGTCGGGGCAACGGAAAAGCTCCAGTAGATAGGAGAGTTTTGATCTGAGCTTGCATACCAAGGAATTGAGCATCTCTAAGCCTTTCTCTTTCCTTGGCAGCTTCTAGCTCGGATATAAGCTTTGTCACTGTCTCCCGCATAGCTGAGAAGCTCTTCGTATTAAGTTCCTCGCCTTTCGAGGAAGTCCCTATTCCTTGCATTCCACACCTATAGCGATGGAATTTTTTCGTAGGAAGCCCGTATACCTTCCCCATTTTGGACCACCAAAAGCTTCCAACCATATTCTTTGAGCATCCTCGTCCGAAGGTTGGCTTGGCTCGCCCTATTCACCAGATGGATGACTACGAATGAATTACTCCACGTTACTTTGATAGCGACCCTACATTATTCTAAATTAAATTAGTATTTAAAAATTCTTATAAAAGTAAATTAGAACACTTAAAGAAAATTGAAAGCTTACATATGCAGTCTCTGCCCGGCCCTCGACCCACCTATCTCCATCCCCCTCTTTCTTCTTCTTTACAATATGCGTCTCTTTGAATAGCTCATCATTGCTTATTGGACGCCCATACTTTTTTTCCCGAAAACAAATTAATTTAGTTAATAAATATAATTGATATACTTAGAAAAGTAAAATAATTTAAGCAATTACCAATCTTATTGTCCCCGAGCTGATCGCACTTCTAGTGTGCAAGGAGCCTCTTTTCTCGGATGCGCGAGCTTTCTTTCCTTTTTCGCTCCTCTCTAAGAAATCCGCAGTGTTCCATTGCCTTAACAAATCATTCCATAAATCCTCAAGACACCAGCCATGCCTCTTGTTCTTCTTTCTAGCATCCGAGAAATTATCCACCAATCTCTTGCGAGTATTATGAAAATTTGCAGCCACTTTCGCGCTATAGCAGTCTTTCCATACACACTTTCTCTGCATTTTAAAAGTCAAATATTAGATGGAAACATCATAAATATAAATTATTAAACTACTTAAAAGAACATTAATACCTTAAATTGATTTAAATTTGCTCCTTCAGTGAGAATGGGAAATCAGTCCAAGCCGCATAAGGGCCATCACAAATCTTTCTGATGGCATTGGTGATTATCTTCGTAATCTGCTTACCCCGCCTGAACCTGCAATTTAACAATAAAATACATGAATATCTTAGTAAAAACATTACAAAACAATAGACACAAAAATAACAAATAACTCTTACCCATCACCCTCAGGGACTATGATGATCCTGCCATAGCGATCATAATGCGCTACCTCTGGATCATCATCCTCAGCATGTGTGTCAGAGGCATGTGTAGATGGTGTAGGGAGATCAGAACTACTGCTTCGCAAGCGAAGGCCTAAAATAGATGGAGTCGATGATGAAGATGGTTTGGATCCCTGTGACTGCAACATAGCTGGATGCGACCCAAGTGGCTGTGATACTGATGGTTATGACCCGAGTGGTTGTGACATGGATGGATGCGATCCATGTGGTTGTAATATGTAGGGATGTGATCCACATGGATGTGATGCAGATGGCTGCGATCCACGTGGCCGTGAGGCAGTTGGACTGTATATCGGACGTATAGTCCTATGGCCCTATGATGGAGACCTGGTGTCAGGATGAAGGTGTAGGGCTCGTGATGCTGTGGCAACTCAGAATAGCTGTGTGGTGGAGGATAAGACATAGGCATCTCTGAAGAGGATGGAAAACAGGGAGTATTATTATCTACCCTCCTCTTTCCCTTCCTAGCCTTTTCTCGTCCCCGAGAACTAGTAGGGTCATTGTTACCTTGACCCTTGCCTGCCATCTGCATAATATAATACATATTCAGATTAAAACATAAAAGAAACTAGCTATAAAATGAGATTTCTTTAAAAAAACCAACTTTTTAATCCTCGTCGGCGTATTGTTCCTCGTCCGAGAATTCTTCATCCTCACTTGTTTTCATCATTGATTCTTCGTCCTCATTTTCTATAAATTTATATCAACTTCATCCAATATGCGTTCAGGATGTTTCAAATCATTTTCTAACTGATCGTCCACTATTTGATGAACACTGGAGATATCATTTTGATATGCAACATCTAACACATTCTCGATTTCTCCCTACCTACAGGCTTAGTTTTTATTACAACCCACCAATCGGACATATTCCGCCGCAATGGATAAGGAGCATAATACACTTGCCTAATGTTATGTGCAATTATGAAAGGATTGTGGCGATAATACTCCCTCGTATGATTAACCTCAATTATGTTGTATTGGTGGTGTACTCTTGTACCTCTTGGTGGATTTGTGTCAAACCACTTGCATCTAAAGAGAATCAATTTTTTATATGGCCAACCTGTATATTCGAGTTGTAATATTTCTTTGACCACACCATAATAATTAATATCTCCAACTTGCTTGAACCCACACCCTGCTGTTGTTGCTATTTTTATTTTTAGAGCAACGCTCTGTATGAAACTTATAACCATTCACTATGTACTTAGACATTGTTGTGACCTGAAGCCCAGGTCCCCAAGATATATCTTTCAAAAATTGATTTACACAATTATTTGAATTATTTACCTACATAGTGTTAAAAAAATTTCATAGGTTAGCATAATCGAATATATATATATATATATATATATATATATATATATATATATATATATATATATATATATATACACACATATATATATCAAATCTCGTATATACAGCATCATGGCCAAATTGGCCCACGAAGTGACAGTGACACATCAAATATTTTCAGTGTCTCGACCCTAGTTCTCCCCGTGAACCGTCGTGGTGGCACCTAGGCTCTACGACTAGGTAAGCCTAATAATTGCGGATAAAGGAACAAAAACATAAAAAGGCTATCAACTAATAAGTAAATTTAATCAAGGAAATACGATGCCGCTCGGCATATACAATAATCACATCCGAATAGTACATAAACTCTCCCAAAATCCGGAATGTCATAAGTCACAAGCTAAAGAAAGAAACACCACTCCCGTACTCCAAAATCTAATAAAAGAAGAAAATACAAGAAGGGTTGACATGGGGTGGAATAGATAGGGACTTCGAGATCTGCGGACGCGGCAGATATACCTTGAAGTCTCTACAGTCGTCTCGTCTCAGTGGTAAAGCAACTGATGTGAGGTACCTGGATCTGCACACGAAAAGCATGTGTAGGAAAGGGCATGAGTACACCACAGCGGTAACCAGTAAGTCCCAAGCCTAACCTCGGCCGAGTAGTGACAAGATCAGGTCAGGGCCCTACAGGTATATATATAATATAACAGAATGAAATATCGCTGTAAGAATGTGTACTGAAATTGAACAAGAATGTAAGCATAGAAGGACATCGACTCAAAACACATAGATAACAATAGGGGATCTCCCAGGATACCATCCTCTAGTCCTAAGCGCAAATGTACAGGGGGATCTAACGGAATATCGTTCCGTAGTCCCAAAGTAAATATGCGGAACAGGGGGATCTACCGGATTACCGTTCCGTAGTCCCAAACGTAAATGTGCAGGGGGATCTATCGGAATACTGTTTCGTACTCCCAAAGTAAATATGCAACTCAACCAACAGAAATAACAGTTACAAGAAGGAAGCCACAATTTAAGCTAAGTCTGAGTCAAGGAAGAACATGAAATTTCACTAAACATGCTACACAGAGTTCATATAGGCAGTTTAGACAGTTAAGGCACGTATGGATGCTTTCCTAAACTAAATAGGATAGTTACATATGCTAGTGTTGCTCAATTAAAGGAAAAACGGATATTTGCTTAATGAAAACGTGGTTTTTCAACAATAGCCTGTGAACGCACTCGTCACCTCACATACTCGGTGCTTATATATTAAACAATACCAAATCCTAAGGGGAGTCCCCCACTCAAGGTTAGGCAAGCCACTTACCTCGAACACTAGGCCACTCAAAGCTCAGTCAAAGCTCAATCACTGCTTTGCCTTTCAAACACGCCTCCGAACCAACAATATCTACCAAATTACCAACCAAACGTTTTAAAATAAGCCTTAGGAATCGCCCACGATAACAAAGGACTCAATTTGGGTGATTATTGAAAAAGTCAACAAAAGTCAACATCCGGGCCCGCTTGGTCCAAACCCGAAATTCGGACCAAAAGCCAATTACCCATTCACCCCCAGTCCGGATATACAACTGGTTTTGGAATGCAATTTGAGGTCTAAATCCCCAAATTTTGAAATCCCTAATTTCTACCCAAAAATTCCCTATTCCACCATGAAAACCTTAGAATCTAGGTTCAAATCTTGTATAATAAAGTTAAAGATTAAAATAAACGGTTAAGAATCATTTAACTATGATTTGGGGAAGAAAAGTCTTTGGAAAATCGCCTCATGTGTTCTAGGTTTTGAAAATGTTGAAAATGAATGAAAAATCCCGTCCAAGAGTCATTTTGATGAGTTGCATGTGTCGCATTTGCGACCTGAGCTTCGCAATTGTGAAGCTCGCAAGTGCGAAGAACCTATCGCAATTGCGAAAGTCTCCCAATTCCTACTTCCATCGCAATTGCGAAGAAAGTCTCGCAAATGCGAGCCCGACCTGCCGCAATGGCGACCAAATGATTGCAATTGCGATCCCTGCCATTCCCAGACTCCCTTTGCAAATGCGAAGGATTGTTCGCAATTGCGAACATTGGCCTCCGCAGCTACTCTTCGCAAATGCGATGAGTAGGTCGCAAATGCAAAGCTTTGTCTCACAATTGCGAGACCAGAGGCTTTACAACAAGAGCTGAAGCACACCAGGAAATTTCTATGTTCAAAACACTCTATGGCCTATCTGAAACTCACCCGAGCCCTCGGGGCTCCAAACCAAACATGCACATACGTCTTAAAACATCATATGAACTTGCTCACGCGATCAAATCGCCAAAATAACACCTACAACCATGAATTTAGCACCAAATCAAATGAAATTCTCAAGAACACTTTGGAATTTCTATTTTTTTCAACCAGACGTCCGAATCACATCAAACCACTTTCGTTTTTCATTAAATTTCGCAGACAAGTCTTAAATATTATATTGAGCCTGTACCGGGCTTCGGAATCAAAATTCGGACCCGATACCAACAAGATCAAACATTAAGAATTTCATAAAAACCATTAAATTTTTAGACTCACAATTTTCAACAAAAATTCATAACTCGAGCTAGGGACCTCCGATTCCGATTGCGGGCATACGCCTAGGTCCCATATTTTTATATAGACCTACCGGGACTGTTAAAACACGAATCCGGGTCCTCTTCCAAAAAATATTAACCGAAGTCAACTCAAATGAAGTTTTTAATCAAATTTTTTTTATTTTATCAACTTTCGACATAAAAACTTTCCGGAAAACACGCTTGGATTGTGCACACAAACCGGGGAGGAATAAAATGAGGTTTTAAGGCTTCAGAACATAGAATTTGGTTTTAATTCATAGTATGACCTATCGGGTCATCACATTCTCCACCTCCAAAACAACTGTTCGCCCTCGAACGGACATAAAAAAGTACCTGTGTAGTAAAAAGGTGGGGATATCTACTCCGCATGTCTGACTCAGACTCGCAAGTCACCTCCTAGACCCGCAGACCCTGCCACTGAACCTTTACTGATGCAATGTCCTTTGACCTCAGCGTTCGAACCTGTCTGTCCAATATAGCCACCGGCTCCTCAACGTAAGATAGATCCTTGTCCAACTGGACTGAGTTGAAATCCAACACGTGAGACGGATCAATGTCATACCTCGAGAGCATCGAAACATAAAATACCAGATGAACTCCTGCCAAGCTGGGTGGTCAGGCAAGCTCATAAGCAACCTCCCAAACACGCCGCAACACCTCAAAGGGGCCAATAAACCTTGGGCTCAACTTGCCCCTCATTCCGAATCACATAACGCCCTTCATAGGCGAAACCTGAAGCAAGACCCACTCTCAAACCATAAATGAAACATTGTGAACCTTCCGGTTCGCATAACTGTTCTCTCTAGACTGGGCTGTGCGAAGTCTATCCTGAATCACCTTAGCCTTCTCCAAGGCGTCCCGAACCAAGTCCTTACCTAATAATCTGGCCTCACCGACTCGAACCAACCCACCGGGGACTGACACCGCCTACCATACAGAGCCTCATACGGTGCCATCTCAATGCTGGACCGATAACTATTGTTGTAGGCAAATCCGCAAGTGGAAAGAACTTATCCCAATAACCTCCAAACTCCATCACACACGCACGGAGCATATCCTCAAGAATCTGAATAGTACGCTCGGACTGTTCGTCCTTTTGAGGGTGAAATGCTGCGCTCAACTCCACCCGAGTACCTAACTCATGCTGTACGACTCTCCAGAATCGTGATGTAAACTATGTGCCCCGGTCAGATATGATCGATACCGGCAGGCCATGAAGTCTGACAATCTCACAGATATAAACTCGAGCCAACTTCTCGGAAGAATAGGTGGTCATCACCGAAAGGAAATGAGCTGACTTGGTCAATCTATCCACAATCACCCAAACTGCATCAAACTTCCACTGAGTCCGTGGGAGTCCAACAACAAAATCAATAGTGACCCGCTCCCATTTCCACTTCGGAATCTCTAACTTCTGAAGCAATCCACCGGGTTGCTGATGCTCATACTTCACCTGCTGGCAATTTAGGCACTGAGCAGCATATTCCACTATGTCCTTCTTCATTCTACGCCACAAATAAATGAATAATGCTGCCTCAAGTCCTGATACATCTTCGCAGCACCCAGATGAATAGAGTATCGCGAGCTATGAGACTCCTGAAGGATCAACTCATGCAAACCATCCACATTAAGCACACATAGCCTGCCCTGCATCCTCAATGCACCATCATCCCCAATAGTGACCTCCTTGGCATCACCATGCTGGATCGTGTCCTTAAGGACAAGTAGATGGGGGTCATCATACTGATACTCTCTGATATGATCATAAAAAGAAGACTGAGACACCACACAAGCCAGTACTCGACTAGGCTCAGAAATATCAAATCTCACAAAACTGGCTGGCTAAGGCCTGAACATCCAATGCCATGGGCCTCTCTGCTGCTGGTAGATAAGCCAAACTCCCCAAACTCTCTGCCCGGCGACTCAAGGCATCGGTCACTACATTGGCCTTCCCCCAGTGATATAGATTAGTGATATCATAATCCTTAAGCAGCTCTAACCACCTCCTCTAACGAAAATTAAGATCCTTCTACTTGAACAGATGCTGCAAACTCCGGTGATAAGTATAGATCTCACAAGGAACACCGTACAAATAATGCCTCCAAATCTTCAAGACATGAACAATAGTTGCTAGCTCAAGATCGTGGAAAAGATATTTATTTTCATGCTCCTTCAGTTGTTTGGATGCGTAGGAAATCACCCTACGGTCCTGCATCAACACCGCGCCGAGGCCAACTCGCGACGCATCATAATAAACTTTATAAGACCCCGAACCTGTAGGCAATATCAATACTGGGGATGTAGTCAAAGTTGTCTTGAGCTTTTAAAAGCTCTCCTCACACTCCTTTGTCCACTTGAACGGAGCACCCTTCTGGGTCAACCTGGTCATAGGTGTTGCAACAGACGAGAATCCCTCAACAAATCGACGGTAATAGCCCGCCAAACCAAGAAAACTCTGGATCTCTGTAGCTGAGGACGGTATGTTCCAACTCTGCACCGTTTCCACCTTCTTTGGATCCACCTTGATCCCTTCACTCAACACCACGTGACCCGAAAATGCCATGAAATCCAACAAGAACTCACATTTTGAGAACTTTGCATATAATTTCTCTGCTCTCAAGGTCTGAAGCACTGTCCTCAGGTGTTGCTAATGATTTTCCCAACTTTGGGAGTATAACAGAATGTCGTCAATAAAGACAATGACGAATGTATCAAGATAAGGCCGAAATACACTATGCATCAAATGCATAAATGCTATTGGGGCGTTGGTCAGCCCAATTGACATGACAAGGAACTCGTAATGACCATACCGAGTCCTGAAAGCAGTCTTCGGGATATCTGGCTCCCGAATCTTCAACTGATGATAACTCGAGCGCAAGTCAATCTTGGAAAACACTCAGGCAGCCTGTAACTGATCAAAAAGGTCATCAATATGAGGCAAAGGATACCGGTTCTTCACTGTAACTTTGTTCAACTAGCGATAATCAATGCACATACACATAGAACCATCCCTTTTCTTCACAAACAAGACAGGAGCACCCCAAGGTGATACACTAGGCCGAATGAAGCCCTTATCAAGCAATTCCTGTAACTGTTCCTTCAACTCCTTCAACTCAGGAGGGGTCATACGATAAGGGGGAATAGAGATGGGCTGAGTGCCCGGCAACAAATCAATGCAAAAATCAATGTCTCTATCGGGCGGCATGCCTAGAAGATCAGGTGGAAACACATCAGGATAATCCCTCGCTATCGAGATCGAATCAACTGTAGGGGTATCAATACTGACATCTCTCACGTAGGCTAGATACGCATCACACCCCTTCTCAACCATTCGTTGAGCCTTAATAAATGAAATAACTCTACTGGGAGTGTGATCTTAGGTACCCATCCACTCTAATCGTGGTACACCTGGCATAGACAGCTTCACGGTCTTGGCGTGACAATCAAGAATAGCATAATAGGGCGACAACCAGTCCATGCCCAAGATAACATCAAAATCTACCATGCTGAGCAATAACAAATTGGCTCTGGTATAAAAACCACTAAGAGTAATCAAACATGACCGATAAAGGCGGTCCACAACAAGAGAATCTCCCACAGGAGTAGACACATAAATAGGGGAACCCAAGGAATCCCGAGATACGCCCAAATGCGAGGCAAAATAAGAGAACACATAGGAATAAGTGGAGCCTGGATCGAATAGAACCGATGCATCTCTGTGGCAGACCGGAACAATACCTGTAATGACAGAATCGGAAGTAACAGCCTCTGTGCGGGCAGGAACAACATAGTATCAGGCTTGGCCTCTACCTCCCTACCTCCACCTCAAGCTTGCTGAGCAGGTGAAGTGGTAGCTGGTGCTGTAATCATAGCCTAGGAACCATATGGAGCACGATGTGGCTGAGAAGTCTGTGGAGGTGCACCCCTCTTAAGTCAGGGGCAATCCCTCACCGAATGGCGAGTGTCGCCACACTCAAAACAAGCTCTGGGAGGACGTGGCGGATGTGGCTAACTCGGACCGGGTCTGCTAGACTGACCACTAAAAGCACCCCGTGTAGGAAGCCCACTAGATATCAGAGGTGCATAATAAGGCTCCTGAGGTCTAGGAGGAGCTGGAATACCACTGGCTGCTAGAAGAGCTGAATGAACGGGGCGGCTCACATAACCCCTACAATGACGAACTGCAGCTGGGCCATGGGCACTAGAATAATGGCTCGACTCTCGAGACCTCTTGGCCTCTCTCTCCTGCCTATCCCGAGCAAGCATGCCCTCTATTCTACTAGCAATACTCACCACCTGTTGGTACACGATATCCATCTCTAAATCCCGCGCAATGTTGGACCAGATGATGGGAATGAGCCCCTCAATAAAAAGGCAAACCCTCTCCTGAACTCTAGAAACCAAGGCCGGTGCATGCCTAGCCTAGTCACTGAAACGGACATCATACTCTGAAACAATCACAGTACCCTGGCGCAACTACTCAAACTCTGCGCGCCATGCGTCCTTGAGGCTTTGAGGGACATACTCTCTCAAAAACATGTCCGAGAATGGAGTCTATGTAAGGGAAGCTGCCTTAATAGAATTGTCCAACTCAAAAGTACGCCACTACTGATAGGCTGACCCTCGAAGCTGGAAGGCAGTGAAAGAAACCCACCTCGACTCTGCTATGCCCATAGTGCGGAGGATACGTTGGCACTCCTCCAGAGATCCATGAGCATCCTCTGATGCTAGACCACTGAATGTAGGAGGTTCAAACTTCTTGTAGCTCTCAAGCCTCCGCTGCTCCTCCTCTGAAGTTGTTACCCTCCATTGGGCTGAACTGGGGCTATAGGCGGTACCGGTATAACCTCTGGGATCTGATCAACCTGAACCCGCTGCTCTGGAGTGCGGGCGGCGGGAGTCTTTGCTCCTCCCCCGGCCTGAGATGTGGTTGTAGCAAGGCGAATCAACCCTGCTTGAGCTAGAGTATTGTACATGCTCATGAACTGTGCAAGGGTCTCCTGAAGAGCTCGAGCAGTAGTAGGCGTATCAGGTGCCTGTGCTCCGGCTGGAGCTACTGGTGGCTCCTTTATAGCAGCTCACCCGGGTGCTCTGGCTGCACCATGTACGATTCCTCGTCCTCCACCCTGGCCCCGGCCTCTGGTGGCTCTAGCAGGGGGTGCGGGTGCCTGGTCATCATCGGTAGCACATTTCCTCACCATCTGTGAGAGAATAGAAGACAGAAGTTTAGAATTTCGAAATCAATGTTCTCACACGACAAGGAATCAAATGAAGTGGAATTTTTCTAACAGTTCCATAGCCTCCCGAAGATAAGTACAGACGTCTCTGTACCGATCCGCGAGACTCTACTAAACTAGCTTGTGACTCACCACTCCTATGAACCTAAAGCTCTGATACTAACTTGTCACGACCCTAGTTCTCCCTCCGTGAACCGTCGTGGCGGAACCTAGTCTCTACGTCTTGGTAAGCCTAACATTTGCAGATAAATGAACAAAAACATAAAAAGGCTATCAACTAATAAGTAAATTTGAACAAGGAAATGCAATAACGCTCGGCATATACAATAATCACTTCCAAACCGTACATAAACTCTCCTAAAACCCGGAATGTCATAAGTCACAAGCTAAAGAAAGAAACAGTACTCCCATACTCCAGAGTCTAATAAAAGAAGAAAATACAAGAAGGATTGACATGGGGTGGAATAGATAGGGACTTCGAGGTCTGCGGATGTGACAAATATACCTTGAAGTCTCTACAGTCGTCTCGTCTCACTGGTAATGCAACTGATGTGAGGTTCATGGATCTGAACAAGAAAAATATGTGCAGGAAAGGACATGAGTATACCACAACGGTACCCAGTAAGTGCCAACCCTAATCTCGATCGAGTAGTGACGAGATCAGGTCAGGGGCCTACTGGTATATATACATATACATATATATATATATATATATATATATATATATAAAATATAACAAAATGAAATATCACAGATAGAATAAATACTGAAATTTAACATGAATATAAGCATAGAAGAACAACAACTCAAAACATATAGATAACAATAGGGGATCTCCCAGGATGTCGTCCCGTAGTCCCAAACAAAATGTGCAGGGGGATCTACCGGAATATCGTTCTGTAGTCCCAAAGTATATATGCAGAACAGGGGGATCTATCGAAATGTCGTTCCATAGTCCCAAACGTAAATGTGCAGGGGGATCCACCAGAATACCGTTCCGTAATCCCAAAGTAAATATGCAGCTCAACCAATAGAAATAACAGTTACAACAAGGAAACCACAATTTAAGCTAAGTCCGAGTCAAGGAAGAACAGGAAATTTCACTAAACATGCTACACAGAGTTCAGATAGGCAGTTAAGACTGTTAAGGCAGTTAAGACATTTAAGGCACGTAGGCATGATTTCCTTAACTAAAGAGGATAGTTACATATTCTAGTGTTGCTCAATTAAAGGAAAAACAGATATTTTCTTAATGAAAACGGGGTTTTACAAAAGTAGCCCGTATACGCACTCGTCACCTCACGTACTCAGAGCTCATATATCAAACAGTACCAAATCCTAAGGGGAGTCCCCCACACAAGGTTAGGCAAGCCACTTACCTCGAAATCAAGGCCACTCAAAGCTCAATAACAGCTTTGCCTTTCAAACACGCCTCCGCACCGACAATATCTACCAAATTACCAACTAAACATTTCAAAATAAGCCATAGGAATCACCCATGATAACAAAGGACTCAATTTGGGTCATTATTGAAAAAGTCAACACCCAGGCCCGCTAGGTCCAAACACGAAATTCGGACCAAAACCCGATTACCCAATCACCCCCGAGTCCGGATATACAATTGGTTTTGGAATCACACCACAATTTGAGGTCTAAATCCCAAAATTTCGAAATCCCTAATTTCTACCCAAAAGTCTCCAATTCCACCATGAAAACCTTAAATTCTAAGTTGAAATCTTATAAAATGAAGTAAAAGATTGAAAGAAACTAGTTAAGAATCATTTACCTATGATTCGGTGAAGAAGAAGTCTTTGGAAAATTGCCTCTTGTGTTCTAGGTTTTGAAAATTTGGAAAATGAATGAAAATCCCGTCCAAAAGTCATTTTGATCAGTTGCAGGTGTCACATTTGCGACCTGAGTTTCGCAAATGCAAAGCTCGCAAATGCGAAGAACCTATCGCAATTGTGAAGGTCTCCCCATTCCTGCTTCCTTCGCAATTACGTAGAAAGTCTCGCAAATCCGAGCCTGACCTGCCGCAATTGCGACCAAATGATCGCAAATACGATCCCTCCCATTCCCAGACTCCCTCCGCAAATGCGAAGGATTGTTCGCAATTGCGAACATTGGCCTCCACAGCTACTCTTTCAAATGCGATTAGTAGGTCGCAAATGCGAACCCAACAGTGGTCGCAAATGCGAAGCTTTGTCTCGAAATTGTGAAACCAGAGGCTCTGCAACAAGAACTGAAGCACACCAGCAAATTTCTAAGTTCAAAACACTCTGTGGCCTATCCGAAACTCACCGAGCCCTCGGGCTCCAAACCAAACATGCACACAAGTCTTAGAACAGCATACGAACTTGCTCGCGCGATCAAATCGCCAAAATAACACCAAGAACCATGAATTTAGCACCAAATCAAATGAAATTCTCAAGAACACTTTGAAATTTCTATTTTCTCAACCGAACGTCCGAATTACACCAAACCACTAATATTATATTAAACCTGTACCGGGCTCCTGAACCAAAATACGGACCCGATACCAACATGATCAAACATTAAGAATTTCTTAAACACCATTGAATTTTCATACACTCAATTTTCAATAAAAATTCATAACTCGAGCTAGGGACCTCCGATTCCGATTCTGGGCATACGGCCAGGTCCCATATTTTTATACGGACCCATCGGGACTGCAAAACATGAACTCGGGTCCGTTTTCCAATAATGTTGACCGAAGTCAACTCAAATGAAGTTTTTAATCAAAAAAATTTCTTATTTTTATCAACTTTCAACATAAAAGCTTTTAGAAAATACGCCCGGACTGCGCATGCAAACTGTGGAGGGATAAAATGAGGATTTTAAGGCCTCAAAATACACAATTTGGTTTTAATTCATAAGATAACCTATCGGGTCATCACATTTAGTTGTTGCATCAATATGTAATCACAGTAAATTTTATATTTTGATAACTAATAAATCAATACTTACTTGAGAAATGGTACAACTTTGGGATAATTTAGCAACATATGAAGTGTAGCTGACTTGTACTTCATATCACTCGAACTTCTCTTTCTAACATCCTTAGAATATCAGCCTGGTTGATTGAATACGGACATTGGTAGATATAATGGGTCATTCACACATTCGATGGTGTGCCTATTGGGCCTATTCCTAGAACATGGCACGTTAGTCTCAAAATAATAAGAACAAAAATGTGCAGTTTCCTTTGCAAGATAGGCTTCGCATATAGATCCTTCAATCCTATTCCTCTTCTTAAAAAATTGTTTGCAATTTGCCAGTTGCCCTACATAATGTCATGTTAGCCAAGAACATTCAAATAAAATAGAATATTACATCAAACTTATAATATTACCTCTCAAAGGGATACATCCATATGCATTGAACATGCCCTCCAAGTCGTGCCTCGTGTACAAGGTGGATTGGAAGGTGTTCCATCATATCAAAGAAACCACATGAAAATATTTTTTCCATCTTACTAGAAGCTACACGAATGTTCTGATCCATCCGAAGTAGGTTTTCTTCCCTTAATGTGGTAGAACACAAGTCTTTAAAAAATAAACTAATCTCTGTTATGGATTTCAAGATTCTTTCAGTAAAACCACAAAATGCAATAGGCACTAAGGTCTTCATGAAAACATGACAGTCATGACTTTTCAAATGGCTCAACTTCCCTACCTCCATATCTACTTTTTTTTTCCTAGATTCGACGCATAACCCTCAGGCATCTTCAATTTCGTAACCCAATCACAAATTAGTCGTCTTTCCTCCAAAGTGAATGTGTAACTTGCTTTGGGCTTGAACACCTTACCATTGTTTGTTGTCTGCAAGTATAATTCAGGTCGCCTACAATATTCTTGTAAGTCCATTCTAGCCTTCGGGTTATCTTTTGTCTTACCTTTAAAATCCATCACTATGTTGAACAAATTGTCAAAATAATTCTTGTCAATATGCATGACATCAAGGTTGTGTCGGAGAAGATTATCCTTCCAATAAGGGAACTCCCAAAATATACTCTATTTCGTCCAATTATGAGTAACACCATATCTGGGAAATCTATAAGGTGGAGCCTCAGTAACTTTACTAAAGTTCTGGACCCTCTCCTAAATTTCGTAACCTGAAAGTATCGGAGGTGGCGAATCATATTCCACTTTATTCTTTTTGAATGCATTTTTCATCCTTCTAAACTCATGATCATCATGCAAGATCTGACGGTGACAATCAAACCATGATTGCTTTCGGCCATGTTTCAAAGTGAATGCTTTACATATTTCCATGCAGTAAGGACAAGCTAGCTTCCTAGCAGTCATCCACCCAGAACACATTCCATACGCAGGAAAATCGTTAATAGTCCACATTAGATTAGCATGCAATTTGAAATTCCGCTTGGTCGATATGTCATATGTTTCAACACCATCATACCACAATTGTTTTAGCCCATCAATCAAAGGTTGCAAATATACATCAATCAAACTTTTCAGATTACGTGGACTGGGGATAATACAATTTAATAATATATATGGACTAGTCATACACAACTCAGGTGGTAGATTATAAGGTGTAAGAAAGACAAGCCAACATGAATATGGTGTCGCAGATATAGAAAAAGGCGTGAAGCCATCCGCACACAAACCTAACCGAATGTTCCTCGGTTCACTAGCATAATCTGGATATGTCCTATTAAAGTGCTTCCAAGCCTCTCCATCTGAAGGATGACACACAACACCACGCGGTCTTCTTTTTTCAAAGTGCCATCTCATATGAGGAGCAGAACTCATTGACGTATATAACCACTTTAACATAGGTATAAGAGGTAAATAATGCATCGCCTTGACAGCGACCATATTCCCGCTGGAAAGCCTCTTGAAACGAGGCTTTTCGCAAAATTTTCAACTGTCTAAAGTTGCATCATCTTTATCATATAACACGCAACCATCTTCTCAACAATCGATTCTCATTGACGAAATTCCTAACTTAGAAACCAATCTCTTTGCCTTATAGAAATAACCAAGTAAGTTGATATTTGGGTCAACTAGTTCACTCATAAGGTCAATGAAAGAGTCCATGGCTGCTTGAGAAATATTCCAATCATATTTGATACTTAGTAATCTAAATGCAACAAACAGCTCAGAGTGGGGACTTCTTTCACGTAGTGGACGACTAGCTTCCTCTAACTGTTCATAAAAAAGTTTTGCATCATCATTAGGAGTTTGTTCGACATTTTCATTGGGCTCACCCCTGAAGTGCATCCCAAAAGCATCCGCAACCATATCCTGAATTCTAGAATCATAATTTGTATCCTCCACCAACCTACTACTTTCACCAACAACCATGTCATGAAATATTCTACGGCTACCATCGATCTCTCCAAGATTATTCCACACAAAGTAATTCTCTATAAACCCCTTCCTATAAAGATGAAGCTTAACTTCCTCCGGTTTTTTAAACTTCATACAATCGCACATGACACAAGGGCACCTAATTACTCCTTCACTTTGGTATGGTGAAAGTGACATTGCATGTCTAATAAAGTCATCAACCACTTCTACAAAATCCTCTCGCAATCCCCGCCGATTAGGATAATTCCTATTGTACATCCAAGTACGATGTTCCATCTATACAAATAAAACACGAATAAATTAATTTATTCTACAATTATAAATTAATTAAATCTTTTTTCGTTAATTCAAGAAAATTATTTTTTTCTAATTACACCAACAATTAAATTATAGCTAATATAATTAATTATAAATTATAAGTTCAATTCATATCCGAAGATTTTAAACATAAACTAAAAATTCATTTATATCCTAAAAGTTCAATTCATATCCAAAAGGTTCAATTTATATCCTAAAGTTTAATTCATATCCAAAAGGTTCAATTTATATCCTAAAGTTCAATTCATATCCAAAAAATTTAATTTATATCCTAAAAGTTCAACCCATACCCTAAAACTTCAATTCACAAGAACAAACTAAAAGTTCAATTCATATCCTATAAGTTTAAACATGAACTAAAAGTTCAATTTATATCCTAAAAGTTTAATTCATATCCAAAAGGTTCAATTTATATCCTAAAAGTTCAATTCATATCCAAAAGGTACAATTTACATTCTACAAGTTCAATTCATATCCAAAAAGTTCAATTCATATTCTAAAAGTTCAACCCATACAAAAGTTCAATTCACAAGAACAAATCCTAAAAACTAAAAGTTCAATTCATATCCTATGAGTTTAAACATAAACTAAAAGTTCAATTTATATCCTAAAAGTTCAATTTATATCCTAAAGTTCAATTCATATCCAAAAGGTTCCATTTATCCTAAAAGTTCAACTCATATCCAAAAGGTTCAATTTATATCTTACAAGTTCAATTCATATCCTAAAAGTTTAACCCATACCCTAAAAGTTCAATTCACGAGAGAAATCCTAAAAACTAAAAGTTCAATTCATATCCTACGAGTTTAAACATAAACTGAAAGTTCAATTTATATCCTAAAAGTTCAATTTATATCCTAAAGTTCAATTCATATCCAAAAGGTTCCATTTATATCCTACAAGTTCAATTCATATCCAAAAAGTTCAACTCATATCCTAAAAGTTCAACCCATACCCTAAAAATTCAATTCACAAGAGCAAATCCTAAAAACTCAATTCAATTCACATCCTAAGAGTTTAAACATAAACTAAAAGTTCAATTTATATCCTAAAAGTTCAATTCATATCCTAAAAGTTCAACCTATACCCTAAAAATTCAATTCACAAGAACAAATCCTAAAAACTCAATTCAATTCACATCTTAAGAGTTTAAACATAAACTTAAAGTTCAATTTATATCCTAAATGTTCAATTCATATCCAAAATGTTCAACTCATATCCAAAAAGTTTAACCCATACCCTAAAAGTTCGATTCACAAGAACAAATCCTAAAGCCAAAATTCAATTCAAAGTTAATAATTCAATTCTAACTAAAATTTTCAAAACAATACAAACTAAACATTCAATTTATACCATATGTTATCAAATCAATTAAAACAAGACCTAAACCCTAGATTTCAATAAAATACAAAGTTAAATAATCAACTGAAACACTAATTAACTAATTAACAAAATACAGAAAAGAAATAAGTTGTAATTCAAACCTAGAATTTTTAGGAGGTGGAGAAGGAGAGGCTGCGGGTGGTTAGTGGCTAGCAGCGGCGACGGCGACAGC